TCTTCTTGTTCATCTCTTCTTCTGCCTATATTGATACTTTGTGAAAAGTTTCATGTGCTTTTTTTCTCCGGTCGTAAAACCACTCTCCCAACTTTTCTTGGATGAAATCTAACATTCTTAAAATAGGCATCTCTCTCGATTTTAGTAACACGGAATTCATTGATTCTACCATATTTGTTGTCTGCATATCATCACGTTGTCGTGGGAACCACGATCGAGCCCATCTCTCTGGCGGCTCTTCTATTATGTAATTGTATGTTTTCTTGTCAACACTTTTGATTTGGAACATTAACTGATTAAAATCTTCAAGTTTGTATAACTTTGCAGTGCTTTGAAAGAGATTTATTACCATGGATTTTGTATGTATTTGCTTTAAATTTTTCTCAAAGTGATAGAGGCAGATACCATGGTGAGCTTCAGGATAAACTTTTCTAATCCCATTTGCGATCGATTGGTTTCTATTTGATAAGAAAACCAGTTTACGATGGACTTGAATTGCTTTTCTCATTTCCCCGAAGAACCAAATGTATGCATCATTATTTTCTGAATCTGTTACACCAAAAGATAGAGGAGAGATTTGATTATTTGCATCCTTTGATACAGCAACAAATAGAATGCCACGATATTTTGACTTTAAAAATATTGCATCTACTGCAATCACGGGTCTACAGTAGCACCAACCAGCTATTGATGCCGCAGGAGCAAAGAACATGTAAGCAAATCTGTACAGTGAAACACAAAAAAATAAATCATAAGGTGTGAAGTTTTTCAGATAGAAACATTTGAAACTTCAGGCTGATGGTTAGTATTGTTTTGCTTATCAATTCTGCTCATTTCTTTTTATGGTAGTGTACGTCCCTGGGTTTCTATACACCATCATGTGTAGGTATGAAGGAAGAATCTGGTAGTTCTCTTCCGGTGTTCCCCTTATGGAAGCAATAGCTTTTTGAATAGCGCGCCATGCCTTGTGATATCCAATATTAATTCCAAATTTCTTTTTCATTTCACTTTCTACAAAGGCTGGTGTAACCTCAATATTTTCATCTCGAACATGTTTTAAAATTTGTTCACTTATAAAATTTGATGTAGCATGCTTCTGATCTGATTTTCTTGCATCAACCGAGCATTCATGGTTGTTATGATATTTTATCATCCTGAAAAGTGAGGAATATTTTATTCTGGTAGCACGTACATTCCAACCACATTTCTCCACGATGCATTTCAGCTCGTATCTCTTTGAACATGATCTAACATCAGTGAATTCAACTTTTTAGTTTATCTCCAAGCTGCAGAAAAATTCAGTCATGTTCTTCTTGTTGTCAAAAACTGATCCTACTCTTACTTCCTCAGGCAGTGCATCGCGCCTAAGTATTTTACATGGTGGAGATTCTTTCAACTTTCTCCTCACTCTTTTTCTTGATTTCTTAGAAGCAATAGAAGTTTCAGCAATTTCTTCAGTTGTATCTGATGTTATCGGTATAAATTTCCTATTTTCTTCATCTTCGTTGTTGCTTGTCATTGCAGAAGGCAACAAAAAACTTTGTTGGATCGTGTGTTGGTTGTCTATTTGCATTATTAGCTGTCCTTCTTATTTTTGGTCGTCAACAAACTGGTATGAATTTATTGTAGCGGTATGTAATTGTTGCAACATTCCATATTCTGAAGCAGTCGTAATGTTAGAAGGTTGTTGCTCGTTGTCTACTTCCATTATTGGCTGTTCTAGTTCATGTTGATAATCAACAAATTATTCTGAATCTATTGTATATGCAAGAGATGGTTTGAATGTTGCAGATTCTGAAGCAGCTATACTATCAGAATTGAGTTGTATTTTTTCGACGACAAAATGGCAATTCTTGTAGGCTGAATCAGTTGTTAGCAAATGTATATAGGTTCTGAGTTCTTCATCTGAAGTTATAAACATCCCTTTGCTTGTATTTAGTTTGTTATCAAACTATATCTTTAGTGAATATTTGATTGAATCAATATCTGTAACTTCACTAATTTTCTTTTGGAAAGTATTGAATGATACTTGTTTATTAAGCAGAACAAGTTTTGTATCATGATCCAAGTATTTGAAATCAAAAGTCCACCTCCCATTGAAAGTAATAACAAGTCAAATCGAACTCATCCTGCAGAAGCATGTTTAGTGTCAAGTATTAAGAAACTGAACAAAAGAATTTAAGTGTGAAATTCATAAAACATTCATAAAACTTAAGCACGTTTAAGCTAAAGTTTTAGCAAATGTACTAGAATACTTCAGCTTGTTTATTCTGAAGTTTTCGAAAAAAAGCTCATGAAAAAGTTGTTTAATACTGGACAAAACTTAAGCATGAACGAAATATAACTTCAGCATGCAGGAGAAAATTACATAGTGCAGGAGGAAAACTTCAACAGTTTCGTCCTGAAGTTTTTACAAATGAGCCAAACAACTTTAGCATCTTCTGCTGAAGTTGCTGAAAAACTCATGACAAAACTATTGAATCCAGGACAAAACTTCAGCATATTGAATACTGAAGTATTAGCAAATGAACTAAAACACTTCAGCTTATTTACACTGCAAGACAAAGACTTCAGCGTTTTGGTGTGAAGGTTTAGCAAATTATGTAAAAACTCAGCTAGTTAAATTCACTAGGAAATTACATAGTGCAGGAGGAAAACTTCAGCAGTTTCGTCCTGAAGTTTTTATAAATGAACTAAACAACTTCAGCATCTTCTGCTGAAGTTTCTGAAAAAGCTCATGACAAAACTATTGAATCCAGGACAAAACTTCAACATATTTTAGTGCTGAAATATTAGCAAATGAACTAAAAAACTTTAGGTTTTTTATACTGCAAGACAAAGATTTCAGCGTTTTGGTGTGAAGGTTTAGCAAATTATGTAAAAACTCAACTTGTTTAGTATCATGTTCTAGCAAACAAACCAAAAACTTCAGCATGTTTGTCCTCATGACAAAACTGTTGAATGCCTATGTGTCCTGCATTTAACAGTATCCAGAAATAAATTTATTCTATAACTCCATGCAAGTCCGATTAAAATATATGGGTTGATTAAATTAAAACTTAAAAAGCATGATGAATTCATGAAGAACTAATTTGCATTCTGAAGATGATTTGCAATACTTACAATGTATTTTGTAATTTTGAGTTTGAAATTTAAATCTGGTTCAACTTTCTGGTTTCGTGATTATGGCAGTTGCGAGAGAAGATCTAGGGAGGGACGGAGTGATGGAGGAGAACCGTAAAGTAATTTATGTGTGATGCATCTTTTATATATTTTGTCAGGGGTATAATAGTCATATTATTACGGATGTTTTGTCAATCGGGTACCAAATCAATAATTTTTAAAAATAAGGTACATATTAAAAGGTGGCACAAATATAGGGTATGACTGCAAATCCCCCGTAAACAACGATTGACCTCAGAATCGCATCAAGGCAACCAACACTTTACTCATCCTTCATTGTTTTGTTTTCCATTCTGTTAGATAACTGAATTGGGGCCCGTACCGAAAAGTTTCATATTGAGGGTATAATATTCTCTAATAAAAATTTGAGACCTCTAATTAAGAATGAATGAATACTGATTTTGTAACTTCTAATTCTATTAAATTTGCTTAAATTAAAGAAATACTCTCGAATTAACATTAATTCTCTCTCTACTCTCTCTCGGCGCTTGTTAGTGTGGCTTGACTAACGTGCACCGCTGCCGAAATGGGGAGGGGAAGACCCCGGAAATACATGAACAAGACTTCATTGATAGAAATTAAGCTAGCAGATGGAAAGAATTTGGGTGGTGCTATGATGAAATCACCACAGGGAATGAGCATACGAGAAATTGAGGAGAAATGTACACCTGCGAACTCGGCAAAATTAGCTAGGCCAGAGGCGGCGAATCTGGAAATGAATACGAAGCAGGGTCCGGAATACCAAAAGGTAATTGAACAAGGAGGAAGTGAAAGCACAATTGACAGAACATCGGAGATTGCAAATATGGCTAAAGCCCTAGCTGAGGATGACTCCCTAGTCAATTTGGGGAAAGTTTCTGGTGCAGCTCCGACGAGTGAAAACACAGAGGCAAAGAAGGCTACTGAGCAGACCACTGCAGCAAAAGGAATACATACATGGGCTAGTGTTGTTGCTGGGAACAAATTTGCCTCAAAAGGTATGAATCTTAACTACGTTGCCCCTACAATTAAAGATGGTCAGAAAGTAATCCAACTAGAATTGGAGGATATTGAAGAAAGGAATATCAAATGGGGATTAGCTATTATTCTGTATGTCATTGAATACTCCCCATTAATAGGTGCAGTTGAGAGATTTCTTACATCTCAGTGGAAGCTGTCGACCAAACCAGAGATTTACTACCATAATGAAGATTATTTTGTGATCCGATTCAGTACTATGGAGGAGAAAAATGAAGTATCGTTCTCTGGACCTCACACAATTAACAGTAGACCAGTGATTATGAAGGCTTGGACAGCTAATTTTAGCCTGCAAAAGCTCGGGGTTCAACAAAGGTGAATTACCTGTCAAGTATTTAGGGGTTCCACTCAGCACCAAGAGACTGTCCACTACGCAATGTCATCCACTAATTGAAAGAATGTTAGGCAGAGTCACTTCTTGGACAACCAAATTCCTATCCTATGCTGGCAGGATACAACTAATAAAGAGTGTGTTATTTTCTATACAAACCTTCTGGTCACAAATTTTTGTGTTGCCCAAAAAAGTGATCAACTTGATTGAAGCTGTTTGTAGGAGATTTTTATGGACCGGGGGTGCTGAAATTACATAAAAGGCTCTGCTAGCCTGGGATAGAGTCTGCTGGCCACAAACAGCTGGAGGAATAAATATTATTGATATAGCCATATGGAATAAAGCTGCTATTGGTAAATAATTTTGGAATCTATGCAAGAAAAAAGATAGGTTGTGGATATAATGGATTCACATATACTACGGGAAAGGAAGAAAAATATGGGAAATACATCCAACCCAAGCATCCTGGATGGTGAAGAAGATAGTGAAGGCTAGAAAACACTTTGAGGAAGCTGGCCTCCAGCAAAATGACCTGAGTGACATGATGACATATTCAATTAAAAAGATGTATCATAAGCTGAGAGGGAACTTCCCTAAAGTATCATGGAGAAAACTAATTTGCAACAACTTAGGCTTCCCAAAATGGATCTTTAACTTGAGATTGGTGGCTCATGGAAAATTGCTTACAAGAGATAGACTGGCCAAGTGGGGCATCACCAAAGATACTGTATGTTCTTTGTGTGATATTGAGAATGAAACCATAGCTCACATGTTCTGTCATTGCAAATACTCTGCTGCAATTTGGGAAAGATTATTACATTGGCAGGAGATAGATAGGAAAGCTGACAGATGGCCTGGAGAGCAAGTTTGGGCTGAAAAGCATGCTACAGGGAAAGGGGCGGAAGCATGAATATATAGAATCATCTTGGCATGATGCACTTACTTAATCTGACAAGAGAGGAACGACAAAATATTTCAAAATAGCAAAAGAACTGAAGACCAACTAGTGAAGTTGGTGGCCCGGGAGATCTATGGTAAAGGTGGCTATAAAGTAAAAGTGGTAGGGTGCCTGAGGAGAATGAATTACTATCCATAGCTTGATTCCTTCTTCTCCAACCAGGAGTAGTTTAGGTGGTTGTAAATCTCAGGACCGTAGTGATCTTTGATTTTGTTCTTTACGAAAGGTCTGTTTTTCGCACTCTTAGGGGTTATTTGTTTTGTACAGAAATATTTTCCCTGGTAATGAAAAAAATTTAATTACCAAAAAAAAAAAAATTGCTTAAATTAAGTAGAGTTCGATATGGAAAACCAAATACAATGTTACTAATATTAGCCTAACTTATGTGAAAATTAATACTACAAGTTTCATGTCTAGTACTAGATAGTGAAAAAAAAGAAAGAAGACTTATACAATAATTACCGCATAATTGTAATGTTCCCCACCAAACAAATTCTTATCTAATTTTTGAATGATTAAAGTATAAACCAAAGGATGCCTTCACTAATCTCGTTAGTCATTCCACGTCACCCTTCCAATCCCTTTTATTCCACGTGGCATCCCCCATAGCCGCGGCGCACCTGCCTATAAAAATCACTCACATTAAACTCGACATCCCACTCCCCACACTCCTCTCTCTCTATATATATAAAGATATCTATGCATAGTTAAAAATGTTTTCCATTTAAGCACGCCCTTCTCTAGAACAGTCTAAGCTCTCTATACCTAATGGAAAAAGCTAACCGGAAAACACATGGGAGTACTGATTCCGGCGCCGAAGACACCACCACCGGAAAACGAGCTAAAATGCAAAATGACGATGAAGAAGAAGAAGAAGAAGGCGATATGATGGCTTGGTTAAGCTTGGACGACGAGAAAATGACTGAGCTTTCCAAGGTACTGGACCCTGATACTGCGTCGTTTCAGCAGTCGTTCAGGGTGAGGTTCATTGAAAACCCGTACACCCCGCCGGTGATCGTACAGTCCTCGTCGGGTTATATTACTATAAACGGCAACGAGGAGTCATGTGGCTCGTCATTTTCCGACTTGGACTCGTCGGCCATGGCGAGTGTTGATAGGGGGAGCTTAAATGGGATTTTATTCGAGGCGATTAAAGGAAAAGCTGTCGCGTGGGGTTCAGACGCCGATGAGGCAGGCGGATGGATGGAAGAAAATGGTGATGACGTGGCGTCGTGGAGTTGGGGTAAACAAATGGACGATGAGGCTAACTGCGGTAAATTTCTGGGGGAAGACTTGTTTGGAAATTGGGACACTGTAGAAAATTGGTGAAAATTATTTTGTAATTACTTAAAACTTATAGGATGATGGTGAAAAAACCAGTTTTGGGGTAGGGCTTTAGGAATAGGGGTGTGATCTGCTAATATTAGAATATGGTGAGATCTGATTAGATATATTTGTTACTTCTTTTCTAAATGAAGATGCAAGAGTTGTGCTTTTCTCTTCTTTTCCGTATTAGGAATTTCAACTTTTTCTGCTTTTTATTTTTTGTTTTTTGTCATCTTCTTTACAACGCTTTTATAGCCCTAATTTCTGCTGTAGTATTATTTTTATTTTTATAACATAGACAATCTAAAAATCAAACTTTTAGTTTTGAATACCCTTTTTAAAATAGTTATGTATCATCAACCTATAGTTTTATTAAGTTAATAAACAAAAAATTAATTACCAAAAAAATAAAATTAAGTTAATAACCAGTATGTGTACCAGAACTGTGACTATGTTGAAGTAGTTATAGTCATCAAGTAATACTTTTCCAATATAGTGGTCAATATATTAAACGGAAAAGGGCCTAAAATGCCCATTTACTATATGAAATAGGACAGGCTAGCCCTATGTTAAAAGTTGATCTCTATTCTGCCCTTGCCGTCAACAAATGGGTTCATATATGCCCTCCATCACTAACGGGAGACTCATAAAGCCACGTGTAATATATGTGAGAGCAAGTTAGACCTAGTTCGAATTGTATAGGGCATATATGAGTCAGTTATAATAGTTATTTCTCAAACACTTCACAACTCCATATCAGTTTACTTAGACATCTATTTGACAACACCAAACTAATTATCATAGCAAATAAACTCAGTCATAGACACAACAAATGAACGATAATGACTTCATTAAATCCTTGTACAAAAAAATAATGCTTCATTACATAATAAAAGATAACAATTAAGCCACAATAATACTAACATTACATATCATTTCCCACGGATCCAAAGAACATAACAAAACATCCCAATATCACACACATGAAAATCCATATCTTCTTCCGAAATTTAGCATCAAGCACAACTGAGTACTTTAAATCGGTCACTTTCTTCATTAGAACAATTCTTTACAATTCCAAGGCTTCTATTCCTCCGTGATCGACGAGCATCATAACATTCTCAAGATCAAACTTTCCTTTGGAGAGCATTTCTTTCACGGATTAGAGCTTCCTTTTCCTTCTTTAAACTGCATATGAGATTTGAAACTCTAGGAGGAAGCTCTTCATATTACCATGCCCAATAAGAATATTTTTCATCCGAAAAATAAAAAATAAAATAAATAAATTTACAAGCAAATCAGAATAATTAAAAGAACCCATCAAAAAATTTACTTACCTCATGCTTCGAGCACTTGAAAAACGTTCTCCCAACATTTAAAGGAGTCCATGCCATGAAATAATTGGCAGCAAGTCCACAACGACACCTCCTATTCGACCCCTTTGAGCTACTAGAACATTTCGACGTTGTCTTTTGTTATGATTCCACCCCTTTGAGCTACTAGAATTTAATGAAGTCATTGTCGTTCATTTGAATGTTTGTGTCTATGACTTAGTTTATTTGCTGTGATAATTAGTTTAGTGTTGTCAAATAGGTGTCTAAGTAAACTGATATGGAGTTGTGAAGTGTTTGAGAAATGACTATTATAACTGACTCATATATGCCCCTATACAATTCGAACTACGTCTAACTTGCCCTCACATATATTCCACGTGGCTTTATGAGTCTCCCGTTAGTGATGGAGGGCATATATGAACCCATTTGTTGACGGCAAGGGCAGAATAGAGATCAACTTTTAACGGAGGGCTAGCCTGTCCTATTTCACATAGTAAAGGGACATTTTAGGCCTTTTCCCGTATAATAAATGGACCACGTTATTTGGCAGGGACATATAAACGTAGCGCACGTTTTTTTACATGTCGCTTTCCAACTCAAACTATAGAGTTAAATAATTTAATTTATGAATTGATGTTCAATTCACGTCTGTGTGCACCAAAAAGTTTAGGAGTTCTGAGGTTCCACATTTACAAATCCCAAAAAGGACAGTTCGGTGCATTAGATATTCTGTGTTCCCGCAGGGTCCGGAAAAGGTCAGACCCTAAGGGATGTGACGTATACAACTTACCCTAATACAAGCATTAGTGGTTGCGTCTACTGCTCGAACTCGTGAATCATATATTACACGAAAACAATTTTACCATTGATCTATGGCTCCCCTCGAGGTTCTACATTTTCCAACTTATTAAAATCTTGAAGTTATCCTTATCTTGTGGGTGTGTAAAATTACTGTTTTCTAACTACAAATGAGTCGTGGTCTATTTGAAAATTGGGTAGCTGTAGCAATAGTAGACACAGTGTTGCTTGTGTTGAGAAAATAATTCATTATAGGGTAGATTAGTCGATCAATTAGAATTAAGTAAGTGATTAACTTAGTTAGACACATTGTATCAGCATTTTACACACAATGAAAGAATAACATTTCTTATTTTCATCATCTTCTTCTTCTCTACTGTGTCTTTACCTTTCTGTTCATCTTCTTCTTAATACAAATTCAGTTTGACAAGAGAAACCAAGGATTGGGGCTTTTAACTAACCAAATTAGGTGTGTGAAAATTCTATCTTTACTATAGATAAGTCTAAGTCTATTTAAAATTTGGGTCACTATTTTAATTAAGTGATTGTAGATGTGATAGTTTTCAAAATAGAAACCAAGAAATGTGGCCTTTAACTAACCAAATTAGGTGTGTGAAAATTCTAGCTTTACTATAGATAAGTCTAAGTCTATTTAAAATTTGGGTCACTATTTTAATTAAGTGATTGTAGATGTGATAGTTTTCAAAATAGAAACCAAGAAATGTGGCCTTTAACTAACCAAATCAACCCCTTTCGGCAAGAAAGCAGGCGTACATGAAAGAGATTAAAAGATGAAATCATGAAATTCTAATTATCAAGACCATTCGAAATAATCATAAGCCTTTTATAAAAAAAACTATCATTCCCAAGAAATGTCAAAGTTTGAAGTATTATGAAAGCAGAATCTATTTTTTATGTAAACGTAGACATTACTTTCTTCGTTTTTCCAACTAAAAATTTATATACAAGTTATTAAACTAATATTTTTAGAAAATAGAAAAACATATTTGGACAAGTCTGGGTGTTTATAAGACTCCCACAAATTTAGGTGTGTCTTATGACTAAAAGGGACAAGTTAAGGGGTAATTATACAAGGGGAAGTGCATAGTTAATCACTAATTAGTGCGGTGTAAATGTTAAGGACACTATATCTTTAATATTTACACAACACTCATGAAGAAAAGGTAAAATCTTATTTTCGTATTAATTTTAATAAAATAGTGACTATTTTTGCTTAACATTAAAAATACTGAATAAAAACTAAATACCGCATTAAAAAATTGCTACCCCACACCATTTCTACATTATATAACACACTCTTAAATTTAAGTAATTACGTACAGTTAAACAAAAAGGGGATAAGTTGGGTCTAAACTCTTGTCTAATACGAGGACTGAGCAATCTCCAATTTTCAAATAGTTAATTGGGCAGAATAAGACCTCCCGGTGAATTGGAAGTGCACACATAGTCATTTAAGGGGATGCTATTTAGAAATTAGTCACTACTTATTTTGTCTTGAATTTTTAAATTAAAAATTCTAATTTCAGGACAATTCAGAACATTTTTGTTTTGAAATTTTGAACTGAACAACTAAAATTCAGGACGCAATGACTAATTCCTAAGGGATCTTTACACAAATAGCCGACCATATTGATTAATTACTTTTTCTTGCCATATACATAGTTTATACATTGATTATATATAATTATACATAAATTATGTATATATTATACTTCCACCGGCTATTTTTAGTTTAAGCAGTTAGGTGGTCGACTATTTGGGTTAATTCTTCAATTCCCTAAATAGCAGCCCTTTAGAGTGGCTACCTGGTGTAATTTCTGCTGAATTGGATTATATTTGGGTAGTTCGGTTCTTTTTCTCAGTAAAAATTATACGGGGCGCCCTATTTGGTCTCCCCCATTTACCATATACCCATTTTAAAAAAAAGTTTTAACTTATATCCACTTTTAAATAACTTCATACCTCTTTCTCCCCCTCTTTCTCCTCCTTCGTTTTCTTCTTCTTCTCCTCCTCCTTCTTCTTATTCTTCTTCTTCGAGTGATACTAAACAACTTCAAGGAACTCATATTTTTGAACACAAGTAGACACAAGTGCATCTTCCTCACATAAAGCGAAGCTCTTGAATCATTCAGGAAACTTGGTTTAATTGATGATATGTCAGGGAAGCCACTATGGCAAAGTTTTGATGAACCCACTGATACCTTCCTTCATGGTATGAGGATGGACGACGGGAAGTTCAAGTTGACTGCTTGGAAATTACCCAAAAGGACCCAAGCACTTAAGTGCATCCTCTAGGAGTTGAAGTTCAACAAATATTAAATAAATTTCAGCTCCTAAAATGCTGAAGTTCAGCAGATACTAAACAAACTGCAGCTCTTAGAATGCTGAACTTCAGCAATTACAAAACAAAAATTTCAGCCAAAATTGCTGAAGTCCAGCAATTATTGAACTGAAGTGCATCCTCTATGAGTTGAAGTTCAGCAAATACTAAACAAATTTCAGCTCCTAAAATGCCGAAGTTCAGCAGAAACTAAACAAATTTCAGCTCCTAGAATGCTGAATTTCAGCAATTACAAAACAAAAATTTCAGCCAAAATTGCTGAAATTCAGCAATTATTGAATTGAAGTGCATCCTCTAGGAGCTGAAGTTCAGCAAATCCTAAACAAATTTCAGCTCCTAAAATGTTGAAGTTCATCAGATACTAAACAAATTTTAGCTCCTAGAATGTTGAAGTTCAGCAATTACAAAATAAAAATTTCAGCCAAAATTGCTGAAGTTCAACAATTATTGAACTGAAGCTTTCTATTGCACTATGAACTGAAATTTGCGTGATTGCCTTTGCAAGTCAG